GAGTTGTGGATGTGGGACTGTGGGGAATTGGGGGGTGCTGTGGGATTGGGGATTACGGGGCAGAGAGGGATCGGGATTTAGGAGTCTTTGGATGTGGGGCAGCAAGGGGACTGGGGATTAGGGCTGTGAGTTTGGGGCTTGTGGGACAGGGAGGGGCTGTGGGGGTTTGGGGGTGCGGGCTCTGAGGAACTGGGTGGAGGCTCTAAGTTTGGGGCTGTGTCCCCCCAGGCATCCCTGTGAGAGTCAGGGGGTCCCTACAGACTTTGGGACGTGATGGGATGGGGGTTCATCCCTAATTCAGCTGCAGCCGCCCGGCCTGGGTGGGGGTGGCAGGGACAGGATCCCTGTGCTGGGTGTTGGCCTGAGCTCCCGGGACACAACCCCTCCTCTTTCCTGGTGCTGCAGGTGCTGATCCCCGGCTGCTTCCTGGCTGCTCCCTGACTTCCCGCTCTCCGCACGGCTCCCGCTCCGCGGGGATCCGCAGCCATGTCCACCTTCCGGCAGGAGAACGTGGAGGACTTCTATGAGATGGGGGAAGAGCTGGGCAGGTGAGGGAACATCCCCCTCTACAGTCTGGAAGGGGCTGCACCTCCAGCCGAGGGAGCTTCACTACCCCTTGTGGTGTCCCTGTGCCACCCCTGGCAGCAGCAGGGCCGGGGCTGGGCCGGGAGAGATTAAAAGAATGTGTTAATTAATGTTAAAGTTGCTCTTTTTGGAGCTCCAGCCGGGCCAGCAGCTTCTAGGCCTCAGTTGGCTGCTCCTGGCTCTGTGCCTGGGGAGGGATCCAGGGTGACTCACTGCCTGCAGATGGGATTTAATCATCCGGGATGCAGAGGCGGAGCTGGGGGAGCTGCCCAGGGATCCTCCAGCCCTGCCTTTGGCCGTGGCTCCTCCTCCTCAGCCACTGGGAAATCCTTGGGCAGCAAAAAAACGTTTTTGGGGTCACTTAGGTGGTTTTTTTCTCAAAGCAGCTTCCAGGGGTTCCTTCAGGTTCTTTACTCTCTCAGGGCTGGGCTGTGGATCCCACCTGGGCAAAGCTGGTCCCTGCCCTGGGGGGGGCTGTGGGTGGTCCCAGATGTGATCTGGGAATGTATAAAGTATAAAGGAATCTTGGGTCCAGGTGCAGTTACTCTGATTTCAGGCATTTCCTCCTCCACCTGCATTTCCCTCCGGAATTTTACGGTCCCCCAGCACCACCAGGCTCTGGGATTGGCTCCTGGCACCAACCTGGGGTTTCCTGGCTGGAAAAGAGGGGTTGTTGGGCATCTCCCAGCCTGGGTGGTCACAGCAGCACCTGAACAGCCCAGGGATGGTCTGCAGCTGCCACATTCCTGGGAGGGATTCCTTTCCTCCATCCCAGGAAGCGCTGGGCTTGCTCCAGCAGTGCTGGGCTGTGTAAAGCCTGGGAGCAGACGGGCACCATCCGATCCCGATCCCTGGCAGTCCTGGGAGGAAACAGCGTGCCCTTGTGCTGTTTCCAAGGATGTGATGGGGGAGATTCTCACTCCACCTCCTCCCCTCCTCCCCGCAGCGGCCAGTTCGCCATCGTCCGGAAGTGCCGGGAGAGGAAGACGGGCCTGGAATACGCGGCCAAGTTCATCAAGAAGCGCCGGCTCTCGTCCAGCCGCCGGGGCGTGAGCCGGGAGGAGATCGAGAGGGAGGTGGACATCCTGCGGGAGATCCAGCACCCCAACATCATCACCCTGCACGACA